ACCCATATACCTACCACCTAGATTCCACAGTTAACACTTTACTATATTTGCTTTATAACATAACTATCTACTCCTCATGTCTTTCTATTCATATCATCCAGATTTTTTTTTATATACATTTAAAAACAAGTTGCCAGCATCAATACATTTTATCCCGAAACACAAAACATGGGTATCATTAACTTAGGTGGAATAATTGTTTACAGGTTTGGGTTCTTTTTTAGGTAAAACTGACATGTAATAAAATATATAAATCTTAGGTGTTACCTACACCTCTACCAAAATATAATATGTTGCCCTAGAAATATATAACCCCTAGAAAGTTCCTTTATATCCCTTCGTGGCTAACACAAGCCATCATTCATCCCCCAGAGGCAGCTCTGTTCTGATTTTTTCCCCACCATTGATTGGTTTTGTTTGCTCTTGAACTTCATATAGATGCAATCATACATTTTGTGTCTGTCTTTGGTTGTCCGGCTTCATTTGATCAACACTACGGTTTTAAGATTAATCTCAAAATTGTTGCATGCTGTAGCAGTTCATTCCTTTTTACAAACAGATAATAAACAGATTTCTTATTACAATTTGTTTATCCACTCGTTGATGGATAATTAGTTTGTTTCCACTTTGAGTCTATTACAATGAATAAAGTACTATGAACATTCTTTTACCTGTCTTTTTGTGGTCATACGTTTTCATTTACTTTGGGTAGATATCTAGAAGTAGAATGGTTGGATCATAAAGTATTTAACTTTATAAGAAAATGTCAAGCAGTTTTCTAACGCGGTTGTACCACTTTATACTCTAACCAGCAATGTGTGAGAGTTCAAGCAATCAACTTTTTGCCTTGAACATTGTATTAGGTACAAAAGAACTAAAAAAATCATGCTTGTCTAAAAACTTTACAATATAATTTGCAAGATTAGGCAAATACAGATAAAACAAATGAAATTTGAATATTCAACTGTGCAAAGGTGATTTTACATACAGAAAGAATTATGTGGTCTTTTTTTTTTTTTTTTTCCTCCCAGAAATATTATGTGGTCTTAAGATGCCTGCAGCACCTGGCTGGCTCAGTTGATAGAGCATGCAACTCTTGATCTCCACTCACAGCCATGAGTTTGAAGTTCCACGTTGGGTGTAGAGATTACTTTAAAAAGGAAAGAAAACGGGGTACCTAGGTGACTCAGTTGTCTGGGCGTCCGACTTGGGCTTGGGTCATGATCTCACAGTTTGTGAGTTGGAGCCCCGCGTCGGGCTTTGTGCTGACAGTTCAGAGCCTGGAGCCTGTTTCGGATTCTGTGTCTCCCTGTCTCTCTGTTCCTCCCCCACTTGCACTCTGTCTCTCTGTCTCTCTCTCAAAAACAAAGATTTTTAAAAAAATTAAAAAGGAAAGAAAAAAAAACCCAAAATGCAGGAGGCCTATCACCTCAGAAATTTATTGAGTCAGGTGCTGCAGCTAACCTCTAGGAGAAGGGAAAGAGGTACTGCATAGACTGTTCCTTATGGTAATATATTTCCTTCGTACGGTTCACAGGGCAGGACTAAGCAGGTAATCACTGAAATTATCAAGAAATTCATCCCATTCTAAACTACTAGGTAGCCTAGTATGAATCCAAACAGCCCTGTTGGATCATTGATGCGAGCAAGATCATGTTTAAAATCAATATTAAGTCACATATTTCATGTTTTCTTACATATATCACATCACGATATTTTAAATAGTGTCTTCCCTTGGACTACATCAAAATTTAAAACTTTTGTGCATCAAGAGACACTATCCACAGAGTGAAAGGCAACCTATAGAATGGGAGAAAATATTGTAAGTCATATATCCATAGGAGGTTAATATCTAGGAGCGCCCACCTGGCTCAGTTGGTGAAGTATGTAACTCTTGATCTTGAGGTTGTGGGTTTGAGCACCATGTTGGTTGTAGAGATTGCTTAAAAATAAAATCTTTAAAAATATTTTGAAAAAGAGGTTATCATCTAGATATATAAAGAACTCCTACAACTCAAAGACAACAACAAAAACAACCTGATTAAAAAATGGGCAAAGGACTTCAAGAGGTCCAGGTTCTGCTGAGGTCATGATCTCACGGTTCATGGGTTCAAGCTCGTCATCCGGCTCAGTGCTGGCAGCAGGGAGTCTGCTTGGGATTCTCTCTCTCTGCCCTTCCTCTGCTCGCTCTCTCTCTCTCAAAAATAAATAAACTTAAAAAAAAAACCCACAATGAGATGTCAATTCACACCTATTAGGATGGCTATTATAATAACAAAACCAAGTAAGCAAGCAAACAATAAAATAACAAGCATTGACAAGGATTTGGAGAAATTGGAACACTTGTGCACTGTTACAGGGAATGTAAAATGGCGCACCCATTATGGGAACAGTATGGGGTTTCCTCAAAAAGTTAAAAATAAAATTACCATATGATCCATTCATTCCACTCCGGGTATATTCCCAAAAGAATTGAAGGCAGGAATTCAAACAGATATTTGTGCAGCCATGTTCAGAGAAGCATCATTCACAAGAGCCAAAAGGTGGGAGAAACTCAAGAGCCCATCAATAGACAAATGGACAAACGAGATGTGGTGTATACAAACAGTGAAGTATTACTCCGCCTTAAATAAGAAGGACATTCTGACAAATGCTATAGCAAGGAATAACCTTGAAGACATTATACGAAGTGAAGTAAGCCAGTCATAAAAGGACAGATACTATCTAATTCCACTTACAGGAGGTACCCAGAATAGTCAAATTCCTAGAAATAGAAAGTTGAATGCCCGTTGCCAGGAGGTGAAGGAAGGCAGGCATGAGGAGTTACTGTGTAATGGGTACATTTGGAAGACAAGAAAATGTTCCGGAGATGGATGGCGCTGATGGTTGCACAACAGTGTGAATGTACTTGTGCTGCTGAACTGTGCACTGAAAGATGTTTAAAATGGTAAATTTTGTGATATGTATATTTTACCACAGTTAATAAAAAGTAACTTGTAGTAAGACATTACCCCTCTCTGACGTGGCAGAGCACATCTGTGTATCCTTTTTCCTCGGGGAACGATGTTTCGGACAATGCCTCTGGAATCTCTCTCTTAAGGATTAGGACTTTTCAAATTAATCAACTTTTTCATTGTAATTAGTACAGAATGTCACAAGATGTCACTCTTTAGCTGAGAAACGATTCCAATTCCTTTCATTAGCCGATCAGAAGTAATGCCAGAGCAACAGACAAGTCTGTAACTCTCCTTAGCGGTGCTTTACTCTACAAACATGGTTTGCTGGGAAAGAGAGAAGTTTCCATCTTTGAAGTACATTAATATGCTACTCTTGTTTATGAAACTTACATTAATATTTGTTAACTGCATAGGTACTAATTGCTTTTCATTAAACATCGAATTGATGTAACAAAGACATAAATGACTTTGAAAGTGATAATGTAATACAAAACCGAAATGTGAAGGTTATTGATCGCTGAAAGCTTGTGGCTTTATCGCTAAATGATGTGTGACCTTGGGTAAGTCATTTAATCTGTCTGATCTCACCAGAGATAAAAATTTCCATTCTTAGATCAGTATAGACTACTATATATTTAACATATACTAACATATATTTAAATTCATTCTTCTAATTCTGAAATATTTTGGTTTTTATAAGTGATCAAATTATAACTGTTCAAATACAATACCAAAAAGGAGTTCGGTCATAGAAAATACTGTCTGCAGTAAAACACTAGGAAATATAATGAGACTTCTTGACATCTTGGGTAATTATTTTAGGAAAATACTCACATGTATAGAACAATTATAAAGTGTTACAAACTCTTGAAATGAAAAAACACATTTGTTACTGCGAACATTTTTTTAAAGATGGAATATTTTAAGCTTTGCTTAAATATAAAATTTTCAAGATTCAAGAATACATTAACTCTTAAAGATGACAGCATTTGAATTGGTAATATTACCTTGTAACTATAATCCAAATAAGTTATTTTTTTAAACTTCTAATTTTTGCAAGCAGTTTTATAATTGATTTATAATACTTAAAAATAATCAAAAGCCCAAATGCCCATCCGTGGGTGAACTGCAGGACACTATGGTATATTAATAAACTAGGATACATTTTTATTTGTACATTTTGTTATTTTTATTCAGATTACATTATTAGGATAAGAAACACTACGGAAGTGCTGGGTGAAAATATAGAACTCAGAATGGTATGAAGAGAGTGCAATGCCTGGTTTAGAACACGGACAGTCGTTTTGTTTCTAACATGAAATTTTTTATTAACTCTTAAAATTTAGATCTGTTTAACTTTATGTTCGGGTGGTTAAATATGTAAAAGGAAAGAAAAGAATGACTTGTTAAAATTTGCATGATTATTTTAAACATGGGAAGCTAAGCGCAAGATGTATATTTCATGCCACAGTGTCACTTCTATCATACATTTGGGGTGTGTATGTATGTGTGTGGTGGTGGGAAATCTCCCAGTGTGAGAGAAGTCTGGGAGGGGCACAGTGGGGGAGGCCCCTCCTGTCCCATTCATAACACGTTCATTCACTGGGAGCCGGCTAAGACCGACTAATCTCTCACGCAGTCATTCCCTCTACCCTAATAAAGATCCACCACCTCTCCTAGAACTCGGTAAGTCCAAAGTGCAGTCAAAATACATGTTTCCCAGAAATAATCTGAAATGTTTTTGTAGATAGTTTACTGGAGGGTGAAGAAGGGAGGGGGTGGAAGCGGCAATTTTCAGGCATCACCTTCTTTTTGTCTTCGCGCAGGGTTTCAAAAAGATTTAAAACGATTTTTCAGACAGTAAGCGATTTCCTCAGAGGGCCTCTCTCAGGCTGCTGTGGGAAGGGGAATTCGTAGATGCGTTTGCAGCAGCGGTCTCTGCTTCTGTGCCCAGGTCCGAGGGACGCTGCTCTCCTGGCCCTGCCACCACTGAAGCGCCCAGGCGTCCCGGAAGATCCGACTTGAGCGCAGACCCCGCGGACCATGAGTCCTCGGAGGCAGCGAGCGTCGGTCCCGCTGCTGCTGCTGCTGCCGCTGCTGCTGCTGAGCGGCTGCCTCCTCGTGGCCGCCCGGAGAGACAAGGGGGCGGCAGGCAGCGCGGCCCAGCCGGCCCCGGGTCCCGCGGGCGGCTCCTCCGGCCGCTTCGTCAGCCCCGAGCGGCACGCGTGCAGCTGGCAGCTCCTGCTGCCCGCCCCGGGGCCCGCGGCGGGCAGCGAGCTGGCGCTGCGCTGCCAGGACCCGGACGGGGCGCGCCACCAGTGCGCCTACCGCGGGGAGCCGGAGCGCTGCGCCGCCTACGCCGCCCGCGGCGCGCACTACTGGAAGCAGGTGCTGGGCGGGCTGCGCAAGAAGCGGCGGCCGTGCCAGGACCCCGCTCCGCTCAAGGCTCGCGTGTGCGCGGGCAAGAAGGGCCACGGCGCTGAGCTGCGCCTGGTGCCCCACGCGTCCTCACCCGCGCGCCCCACTGCGGCGGGCTTCCCCCCGGATCCCAAGCCCCGCGCCAGGAGCCGGGGGCGCCTCCGGGAGCCCGCGCCTGGCCCCTCCGGAGGGGCCCGACTTCCCGCCGGCGCGTCTCCCAGAGGGAAGCCCTCTGAGACCAACGGCGGCAAGAGGAAGGCGGCCTCGGACCCAGACCAGGAGCGACCCCTGGGGACCGGGCCGGATCCCGACGGGTTGGACGAGAACGCGAAGCTCACGGAGACCTACTGTGCTGAGAAGTGGCACTCCCTCTGCAACTTCTTTGTCAATTTCTGGAATGGCTGAGGCTGCCCGCCTGGGGAGGAACCTGGGTGGGGGGAGGTACGCAGCCGGGGAGGAGAAGTTAAGGGCATCTTAGGCCAGGAGATAAGGGATGGAGAGTGGGGAGGAGTCCAGGTTCTAGAATGGGGCGAGGGGGTGGGAGGGCGTGGGCCTTGGGATGAGAGTGTATGGGGTATGGAGAATCTGAGACAGCAGAGACGTTAAACATTTTTGAAGAGTCTCAACCCTGATTAAGAGCAGAAAAAATAGTGGAAACAGAAGTAGGCATACCTTAAATGTGCAAAAACTGTAGACTGGGGAGAGAGACAGGAGTACAGAGGGAGGCTGGAAAAAACTAAGGGGGGAAAAGTGAGGAGAGTGATGTAAATCTCGTGTGGGAAGCAGGATACAACATGTACTGTTTAACACATTTGTATTAAAATGTAATCAGGATCTATTGATACCCTGAGCCGGGTTGAATTGTTTAGTGACTTCTCACCCAATCAGCTGACGAGATTCCCAACTCTTTTTTTTTTTCTCCCCCTTTTGGAATTAGTATGAACTTGGGTACTGCTTCGTGTCATAGATGACCTCTATTGGGATAGAAGCCATTCAGAGGTCAAAATTGCCTCCAATGAAAAGATTTTCAGGATGGTTGCCCTTGAATTCTTTTAGAAGTGTTACTTTTAAGCAGAGGGACGCCTTATGTTCTGAAATTTTCCCATTAATCTTCTAAATTCAGAGGTGGATTGTAGTGCTCCAGTAGGTTTAAAAAAAGAATCCTCTTTACAATTGACCATATATTTTTTAAAAAGCTGAAATTAAGTATATATCTCAGAGTCATTTGGACCAGTATGGAAGTTGTATCTGTTTCATGTAATTAATTGTTAACATATTTCATTTTAAGTAAGATGCGATGATAACTTTGCACATGTTAGGTGCTCAATAAAGACTGTATGGATAACTTGAAAGAGCTGGCAGGGCAATGGAAATTCTGACTGCATTTGATATAGTTCTGAGTGTAGCTTGAAGTAAGTTCCCAAACATCTCTTGAATGGTAAGGAAAAGACAAGAAGTCTGCATAAAGCAGGAGTGTCAAACTGGCAAACCTTGGGTTGTATCATTGTTCTTTTGGCCTGCATGTGGTTCTCTCAGTTTTCCTCTCTTCTTCCTCCCTCTCAATTTGGAGGTGTTGCCAGCATTTAAAAATTAAATAATTTCATATAAAAATTAAGATTTCTGAATTCTCTTGAAAAATCAGATCTATACATGTTTTGATCTACCTTCCAACAAGGCAACCATTGGCTGACACTGAATATTGGCTGCCCATTGTAGTTCAGGCATGTTGTGTAGAGTTTTCTGCTGTGCCTAGAAATCTTATCTGTAAACTTTATTCATTCATATTACAGGCCTGAGCCCATGGGACTTTTAAGCCACTGCTAGATATAAGGTTACCTTTTTCTGACCTTCTGTTCTTCTCACACCCACTCCTTTAAAACAGTGGTAAATGCAACAATCTTACAGATACCGAACATCTCCTGAACTCTTCTTTGACCAGCCTCTAAGAAATGTTGGCTATGTCTCACCTTTCTGTACCTTCTTGTATTCACACAATTGGCAAAACATTCGGACTGCACATGGTTTCAGGCCAGGTTTATGAGGCCACATTCTGAGTAATGTTGACCATTAGATAAAATTCATCTTGGCCGTGGAAAGGAAGTTCAGAGTAGTTAGAGACCACTCCCTTAAGACTGGGGCCAGGGGATGCCTGGGTGGCTCAGTGGGTTAAGTGTCCGACTTCCGCTCGGGTCATGATCTCGTAGTCCGTGAGTTCGAGCCCCGCGTCGGGCTCTGTGCTGACAGCTCAGAGCCTGGAGCCTGTTTCAGATTCTGTGTCTCCCTCTCTCTGACCCTCCCCCGTTCATGCTCTGTCTCTCTCTGTCTCAAAAATAAATAAACGTTAAAAAAAAAAT